TTGTGAAGTCTTTCTTTCTTTTTTTTTTTATAGCTTGTATATATTGTGTGGGTCTCGGTAAGCTAGTTGTAACAAAATGTAGTACGTGTATGTTCTCATGCATCCCCTTTTTCAGAGTTATGTTAGTGTATTTTGCTTGGCATAAAAATAAGAATTTGTGTTTTGCTTCATCCACTTCCCTCGCAACTTCCAGAAAAATGTCTAATGGCTACGGTATTGTAACAATATTCAGCATAATTTTCAGAACCAGACCGAAGATCGAACCGGTCAAGGTACTGGTTCACTAGTTGGACCAGTGGTTCAAGTAGTCGAATCAGTGGTTCATGCATATTTGAAAATTCAATATATATATATATATATATATATATATATATATATATATATATATATATATATATATACTCCCTCCGTCCCATTTTAAATTGCCTGTTTGCCTTTTTTTTCGTCTCAAAATAAGTGTCTGTTAGTTGTTTTCCTAAACTTTTAAAAATAAAATACCTAAATTACCCCTAAAATAAGTCATACTTCTTCACTTTATCTTCTTATTCATCATCACCCCTCCTAAAAAGTAATGTCAATTTTGGAAAATCAACTCTATTTTTTTATTTTCCTTAAATATGCCCAAAAGTCAAAATAGGCGATTTAAATTGGGACGGAGGGAGTATTATTTACACAAAATTAATATGTATTGAAATAATACTTCCTTTATATATAAATAAAGAATTTATGATGTATTAATAAATTTATAAGCAATTTAATCGAAACAAATGGATATTTAAACAAATAAAAAATTATAAAATAAGAGGTGATTTGTTTTGTTTTATAATTTACACAATATTTTTAAAATATTTAAATGAGTTAATAGTTTTGTGATATGAAGTTCATATTAGAATCAATTGCATCAATATTTTAGGAATGTAATATATAACAAGTAATGTATACTTGTATATTTTTAGGAATGTAATATATAACTAATAATGCTTTTATGCAACAAAATGGATTGTAGTATGGATGGTAGATAGCCTAACAAGAGAACAATAGGTTGGGTGTTCAAACTCCCCCTTAGTAACAAGTTTTGAGAAATTCGTGCAAAGAAAAAGAAAAAAAAATTCGTCTTCGGTCGAACCGGTCGGTTCTTACCGGTTTTCAGTTGGTTCGAGCCGATTCAGTGCACCTACCGGTCTTTGGAGCTGGACCGGACTGGTTTGGCTCCCGGTTCCCGGTCCGAACCGATTTTTAAAACTATGATATTTAGGAACATAGGTGGTACAATCTTTAAAAACTACGTCGTCAAAATTTTTTTAGGTCCCGTTTGGTACACAGAATTCGAACTATGAAATTGGAATTGAAGACTTCAATTCCAATTCTAGTGTTTGATAGCTTAAATATTATGTGGATTTGGAATTGATAGTGCAAAATATGAACTGGAATTGGTGAATTCAATTCTATGGAATTGAATCTCATGGAATTTCAATTCCAATTCAATTTCAATTCCATCAATTCTGTATACCAAACGGACCCTTAATGATATGTTTTGGAACATGGATTTGGATTTCAAATCCGAATTTGGCTCAAATTCCATGTTTGAGAAACTTACAAATTTTGAATTTGAATTTGAATCAAATTCTTCCCATTCATAACCAAGCTTAATTTTAAATTCATGCGCATCCCCTTGTCATTTGAAATTCAGGATTTCAAATTTTGGAATTGAAATACATGAATTGAAATGAAATCCTAGTTTCCAAACACTACCTAAAATAAAATGTGACAAGAATATATTTTATTTTATCAAAAAAATCAATGAAAATGTGTAAATAAACAAACATTTATGAGATGTTTGAATAATGAAGTGTGAACATTCTTTTTTAGATGGAGTACGTAAAATAATATACCCTAGAGAGTTGTGTTGCGTCTTATTTTGTAAATTTTATTTTAAATTCTATTCTAAAACAAGTATATTTAAAAAAAAATTTATATATGACTTTATATTTTGTTTAAATAAATTGATTTAAAAATAAACCAATTAACCAATGTATTTCATTTTTTTTATTTTAATTATGGGACGAAAGGAGCATATAATAATGCCTGTCGAAAACACCTTTAAAATAATTTATTTAAAAAAAATTTAAAACATTGGAAAAGTCGAACTATGCTTAACGTTTGGAAAAATCTCGTTTAGTTTTTTTGAGAAAAATCTTGCATTTAATACTTTTTCCTTTATAAGTATAAACCATAGTTTTCAGAACCGAACCGGTGATCGAACCGGCCAAGGCACTGGTTTACTGGTCGAACCAGTGGTTCGAGTGGTTGAACCAGTGGTTCAAATATTTTTAATAAATAGATAAATATATAAATAAATATATATAAAGAAATAAATAAATAAATATATCTATATATGTTTATATATGTTTATATACACACACACACACACATTGTGGCATTGAATTAAAAAAACTATTATATGATTAATAAAATAATATTTCCTCTATTTATAAATAAAGAATTGATGTTTGACTAAATTTATAATTTAACTTAATTTACTTGAGTTGTTTCATTAAATAAAAAATAAAATTTACTTATTTAAAAAATCTTAGAAATAAAAAGTGATTTGAATTTTTTTAAACATTTTATCTAGTATTTAAATATATATATATATATATATATATATATATATATATATATATATATATATATATATATATAAAATATTTGTGTGATATGCACTCCATATCAATTAACTCAATGGGTTTTGAATTTTAGTAAAAAAAAACTATATATACTTAAAAAGTTTTTGATAAAAAAGGTTTGAATAAAGAATATAAAAAACGAATAGTAGAGAGTTCCTACCAAGCATAGTAGCAGAGATGGTTTGGAAAAGCTCTTTTCTCCCATGAAGTCTTGTGTTCGAACCCTTGACATGTGTTTTTTAAAATTCTTCATAAAAGAATTGAAAAAACCGGATCCGGCTGGTAAACTAAAGATTCGATATTCAAATTCCAAGTTCTATTGCTTTTTTTCCAGATATCGAACCCAAATTATAAAAGCTAAAATAACGGAGTAAAGACCCAAAAGGAAGAATCTTTAATGATATTAAAGCACTAAGGTCCATAAAACTAATACTCCCTTCGTCACTAAATATTTGTCACACTTGTATTCCTGAGGTAAAATATCAAGTTTTTCCTATTCATTTTATTTACATATTGGTATAAAATAAAACTTACATATCAAAAAAGTTTATGAGAAGTTATTCGAAATAAGAGGTGTCAAAAATATTTTATTTTATCAAAAAACCAATGAAAACGTAGAATTAAACAAAAGTTTCTGTGACTGCTGAAAAAGTAAATGTTGTAAATATGTTGGGACGGAGGGAGTATAAACTTTAGGACCACATATGAAAAGATGAAAAGATTTAGCTCTAATTTGATGAAAATATGAAGCGCTCTAGTTAGATGAAAAGATGAAAAGTCAAGAACCTTGTAGGCAAATGACACTGTTATGGGTCTCCCAAATAAAAGGTCACGTGTTCCATCTCAGTGCGAGTAATAAATCTACAAACTTTAATAAGTTAGATAAAATTATGAAAGGCTCTAGAGGCTAGTTAGATGAAAAGATGAAAAGCCAAAGATCTTGTAGTCCAATGGCACTGTTATGACTCTCTCAAATCGGAGATTAGAGCATCCCCAATCATCCTACTTTGGCTTGCTAAAAGTCATAATATAGCAAGTCAACTCATTTTTCTCTTCTTCAATGGATATGTTAAATTTTAGCAACCTGGTCAAAAAATAACTTTAGCTTGCTAAATATAAGAAGCTTTCCAAATTATAGGAAGCCAAGAGTTGTAGAATAGATTAACAAGCTATGGTTGGAGAATGAAATAAAATATCACTTACTAGATCAGTATTCACTTGTTAAAATATAGAAATGGCAAGCCAATATAGTAAATAAGGTTGGAGATGCTCTTACTTGTTCGATCTCAGTGTGAGTAGTAATTCTACAAACTTTAATAGATTGAGAATGTATCAACAGATATTACATTATAATAGAGTAATTAATATTACAAGAAAAGATGAAAAGATGAAAAATGAGAACAAACTCTTTTTTTAGGTAAGAACAAGTTCTTAGTTTTGGTAGGAATGGGAGTAATGACTAGTGAGTAGAATTTTTCCTTTGGTTTGAGTGATAGGAAGCTCACACTTTAGGATTCATGAAGAGTTCAACCTAGTTCGAGCTCTAGCGCAGACAAAAACATTGATTCTTTATACCTCATTATATTAAAGGAAAAAAGACTAAAATATGAATAAAACATTGAAAATATACCAAAATATGACTTCTATGTTTTTATTTTCGAAATAGGAGTTAAAATGCATTTATATTACCAAACATGGTCATGAACATTACCAAAAAATATATTAATATGCACATGTATAGTGCAACATTACAACCATATTATCACAGTGCGAAATCCTATTTCAAAAATAAAAACATAAAACTTTTATTATGATATTTTTTCTACATTTAAGTCCTATTTAAGGTGATTTCTATAAATTAAAAATATTATGAACATATACTACTTTATAATAAACCCATTGGTTCCCATGACACTGGAACTACTGTCACAGGATGACCCGTGGGTGCTTCGGTGTCTTGTTTGTAAACTTGACGGTTCCTACCCCCTGACCCCCCGGTAAATCCCCTGCCCCGACTCGAACACACCCTCCACCACCTCCTTCAATTGCACCCCCAAGTTAATTTTGACTTTGGAGTCAAATTTTGACTCCAAATCAAAATTAACTTGGGGGATGCAATTGAAGGGGTGGGGTGTGTTCGGGTCGGGGCGAGGTGAGAGGGTTTAATGGAGGTTAGGGGTAAGAACCGTTAATTTTATAAACTGGGCAGCGCAGCACCCCAGATCATCATATGACATTGGGAACCAATGTGACGGGAATTGACCTCTATAATAAACTCAAAAGTATAAAAAAAAATTAATGAATAATAAAAAATAGAAACGGGCGCTATTATGCCCTTAATGCCCTCGCACGCCAGAGACACCATCGGAGTGGAGGATGAGATTGGATTCGTACTATGCTCTGCTCCTGCTGCTCGTTTCCTTCAATATCGCTGCCGGTTAGCCAATTTCTTCTCTTCCTCTCTTGAAATTCATGGTCAACGCCCATTTTTTCAAAGTCAAATAAACCCTAATTCTTTTCTCTGAGTGCATCCGATTGTTTGATTCTTGTATGCGGATAAAATCTCTTGATGGATCGGCTGTTTCCGTGAACTATCGCCTCTTTGCCTGCAAAATTTCTAAGTTTACTAAGCTGAAAATGATGATAATGTGTTAAATTTTGCATCTTTTGTTGTTGCACAGTATGAAGGAATAGGGATTGTGGAAACATGCTTTGATGTGTTGTGCTTAATGCTATGTTTGGTTAAAGAGTTTGAAAGAGAGAGAGAAAAAAGAAAATATTAAGATTTTTTTTTGGTTAATGTGGAAAAGAAAAGAAAACCGGATGGTAGAGAAAATTAGATTAAAAAAACAAGGTTTTTTTAAGGAGAGAATAAATTAAGGTTAAAAGAATGGAAACCAAATTTCTTCTATTTTTGTTAAGAGAAGGAGAAAAGGCTTTATCTTTACCTTTCCTTCCTAATTTCTTGAACTGGACATAGTGTAAAAGAGAAAAGAAAAGAAAATGATAAGAATAATTTTTCTTGTTTGGTTAGAGAGGGAAAAAAAGTGAAAGGAAAAGGGAACGAAACGAGAAAATAAACTAAGAAGATAGAACACAACTTTCCTTCTATTTTGGTGAGGTATAGAAGGGAATCAATTTTCTTTTCCTTTCCTTCCGAATCCCATGAACCAAACATAGTGTAAGAGTCAATCTTGCATTTATAAGTTAATATATAAAGATCTTCTATTTAATTCAATTCAGGTAAAGATGAAGGAGTTTGTATTTCGCCCGGTGGTCGGTTTCCTAGATTTTCCAATGAAGGTAGACCTCCAAGGAAGGTAAATAAAGGACCAAGAGATTTGAACCTGTGCAGGGTGTTCCGAGGGAAGACTTGCTGTGACATAAGCCAAACACACCCTACATTGTTGTCAATTAGGAGGTTGTCGTCTGCGGGTGAAGCGAGCCAAGAGTGTTTGCACTTGTGGGAATTGTTGGAATGTTCCATTTGCGATCCGTATGTCGGCGTCCAGCCCGGTCCTCCTCTTATATGTGCCTCTCTCTGTGATAGAGTGTATCAGGCTTGCTCCAATGCATACTTTGCAGTTGACACAAAGACTCAGGTTTCTTACTTTCTTCGGTAGTCCTTATGTGACTGGGTTTATGCATTGTTTTTATGATTTAGAACACATTTGAGATGATTGCTTTTTTGTTATAGTTTTTGACTATATAATATTGGTCAGTTGGGTCCTAGACTGTTTTGAGAACTCAATTTGGTCTTTGGTCTTTGTCTGTGCAATCTTAACGTGATTTGGTTCTCATATGTATAAGTTTCTAATCAAGAATGGTATTTTCATTGTTTTATTCAAATCTAGAGTACAGTATTTTTCATGACTAAACTGAGTTTAAATTACATAGTTGTGGGCCAGATTGAGTCCAAGAGAAAGTTCAGACCAAATAGAGCATTTGAGAAATACTCACTCCATATGGAATTAGTTGTCCATTAAAAAAAAACTTGTTTTTGAGAAATGAGTTTGGAATGTCAAATAAATTCTTCAAATGTGTTAGCCACTCAGTAATATCAGCAATGCTCATGCCCTGTATCAAGGATATTTTAGTCAACAACAGCAACAACAACCCAGTTGAATCCCACAAGAGTAGGTCTGGGGATCGAGGATATTTTAGTCAATTCATCATAATTTCTTTGTTGAATATGGAAAGTGAACAACTAATTCCGGTAAGCGATAACAGGAAAATGGACAACGAAATTCAGACAGAGGGAGTTGTAAATAGCTGATGGACAAAAATGAGCATTAACTCTTTTTGCAGTTCAGTCCTTGACGTGAATCCTGCCTGAATATGAAATTTCTTTTCAGGTTCTTGCACCATGCGGAGTGAATGACTTCGTTTGTGGAAGGGCCTCAGAGTGGATCTCAAATGGAACAGAACTCTGCAGGATTGCCGGGTTCTCAGTCAAATCGGTGTATGATGATCCGGAAGAAGTGACTTGCTACGGAGGAAAATCTAGTAGGGATTCCATATCTAAATCATGGGGAACATCGAACTCCAAGTATACACAAACTGCTCACAGCTCAAGTACAGTGGAGGGTTTCAAGCACTGGGTGGAAGACATTCTTTTCAGTGAAAGAGTATCTTGGGCAATAGGTGGAATGGTTCTGACTGCAGGACTTCTATTTGTCAGGTAAGCCTTCTATTAAATTTTTGTGCTTGTTTCATTTGCAATCAATGAAAATCTATAACATGGTAAATGTAAAGATTATAGCTACAATCGGGGTGACGTTTTTTTTTTTGTTTTTTAAATTTACATGCTCAGAATCAATAAAGAAAAGGGCATCACCCCAATTGTAGCTATGGTCTTGATGGGCACCAAATTAGAGACAATTTTTTATTTCCCTTGATTGAATATGAAACAACAACCCACTAGAGTCACACCAAAGTAAAAGGTAGGGTCTGGGGAGGGGATGTATGTGCAAACCTTACCTCTACATGAAAGCAGAGAGGCTTTTTCCATAAGAGACCCCCAACTCAAGAAAAGACGTAATGCAGAGGAAAAATAGAGCACGAAGAAATAAGCACCTAGCAAGTATAGGTAACAGAAAGAAAGCACCACACAAAGAAGCACACATTAACAAGTGCAGAAAACTATCCCCCAGTTCAAAAGCCTATTAAGACTATCCCCCTAGACCATAGTCTTATCTCTCCAGATGCTCCCATCTAAGGTCATATCATCGGTGACACCCAAAAGTCTTAGGTCATGCCTAATCACCTCCCAATTCTTCTTAGGTTTACCCCTACCTTTATTCTCACCCACCACTTGGGGTGTGCATCGGTTCGAACCCGGACCGGATCGGGACCGGGACCGGGACCGAATAAGACACTTTTCTTGGACAGGGGACCATCCCGATTAAGATAAGGACCGGCCCGGGACCGGACCGAATTAGGCTAATTTTTTTTATTTTTTATTTTTTAAAAATCAGTTTTACTAATTTAATTTAAAATGTCCACTTGTAAGAAAAGTATTACTATTACTAATTTGTAATGTGTAAGACACTAAACATTATCAATCACCATTATTTAAAAGTTTTTAGCATAGTATCAACACTAATTAAAACATGCATGTCGTTTAAAATATAAATTAAAAAGTCAACAATAATATTACTGGAGTTCTCCGTACAACATTGAGGACAAAGATACTTCAGAGACTCTTGTGGATCACAATCCGACATTCAAATCTAACATATATCTTTTAATAAGTAAAAATAGTAAAAGACATCATTTTGAAAGGTGTAAAAAATGCATAGAAAGTTCTTTCATTCTTCCCACAAAAAAATCATTTTTGTGATAGAAAACAAAATTGTAGCATTGAATTAGTCTCAAAAATATTGTAACATAATTTGTAAGAAAAACATTAATAGAATTGCTATTTATTTAAATTGACTATTTAAAAAAAGTTGTGATAAAAAAAGAGTAGCATTGAACTAGTCTTAAAGTTATTGTAACATGAGCAAAATATAAGAAAAGACTTCATTAGTTATATTATATTATTATATAGAAAAAAAGTTTTAAAAAAAATTGACCAGTCCACCGGTCCGGACCGGAACTCGAATAAGAGATTCTAGAGGACGACCGGTCTAGTTTTGACCGGGTTTTGGGTCGGTCTGGGTCTGGACCGAATAATGCACCTCCTGACCTCCCTACCCACCGCAAGCCTCACAAAGAATCGTGCTTGTGGGCCGGGGGTCTTTCCAAAGAAGCCTCTTTGTCCTCTAGGTAGGCCAGACCCCACTTGTTGGGCTTTGGTTATTGTCGTTTTACATGCCCAAAATCATACTCGTTTTGTTCTGGAAAATGCAGCCAACGCAGAAGCCGCAGGCAACGCTACAAACAAGCAGCTATCAAACGCACGGTAAGAAAATTGAACCCAGGCTCTCAGGTCAGGGAAGCAAGAAGGCAAGTGGAAGATAGATAGAGAGTAGATTGTGAGATCGATGTGTTGTGCTCCAATGTCTAGTTGTAGTTTCAAAAATTGTTTTCCCATTGCTTTTTTAGCATTCTCTCTTCTAACTTTTCATTTTTAATATACATATGCACTGTCATTCGTGAAATGGTATTGATGATATATGTTACAAAAGTTCATAATTTTGATTCGATTTGTGTTTCGTACAAATTTATGCAATATGTTTTAATCCTATTTAAGAATCTCCCGAAAGTGCACAATCTGATTTTCAGTGAAATTTCTGCATGCGTAGTTGCTAAGTGGTAAAGTACTTCAATGTAGACCATGTATTGTTTCATTGAACTAAGCTACTAAAATAATTTGGTTTAACTAGCGTAACATAAAAATTTAAAATATGTGATTTTCAATGCCTATATGTGTTGTAAATAAACACAATTTTTTGTTTAACGTAATATGCTTAGTTCATCATTTAAATTATGTCTCTTCAAATATTCATTAAAAATTCGATAACTATCTGAATAACAATATACTCCCTCCGTTCCGAAGTATTCGTCCAGTTTTGACTTTTGGAACTATTCATCTAAGTACTTTGACTCATCAAATTCTTTCAATGTGTAAGCCTAAATATATTCATGTATGATCTTGTTTGATTTGTCTTAACATATAGATTATTAATATATAATTTCTATAATTTTTTAATATACAAATCACAAGATAAAATGGATTAAAAAAGTGTATTGGATGGTTTGTAAAATGAAAGTGGACAAATACTCTGGCACGGAGGCAGTAAATCTCATTTTAAATTCATTAAGTGTTTGGATTCAAACTTGTATTTGAAAAGATTAAACAAATACGAATTCTAATACTTTTTAGGGAAATTTACGTAAATAGCACTAAAACATAATGATTTTTTCTAAATAACATTACATGAGTTTTTTTCCAATGTATCATTTTTAGTCATTGTCCATTAGTCATTATTCAAGTAAATGTTCGTCATCACTGAATATTATTAAGTGTTATTTAGAAAATAAATAATTGAGTAAATTCCATAAAAGATCTCCACTTATATGTCGTTTTACATATTTAGTCCTTACATATCAAATACTTATTACTAATTTAGTCCTCAATTATTATACGGAGTATCATTTTTCACGAATGGTCCTTTGTTAACGTTTTTGTTAAGAACTTGAATAAAATTGTGTTTTCATACTTCTCTCTTTCCTAAATTAAGTTTCATCCCTCCTCTCATACTCTTTCCCAAACTCATCGCTGAGTATAAAGCTCTAAACCCAAAACTGAAATGATCATTTCTTTCTCAATTATTAGTCTTTCTGGTGGAACCTAAAATCAAAACCAATAAGTTTATGGATAAGTTTTATCGATTAGTCTCAAAAAATTGCAAAGAAAATAAACATTAAAATTCATCCATGAAGGTTACTAGTTTCGAATTTGGGTTCTACCAGTTAGACAAACAATTGAGAGAAGAGTGATGATTTCGGGTTTGGGTTCAAAGCTTCAAACTCAACGACGGGTTTGGGAAAGGTATGCGAAGGAAAGAAGCTTAATTGAGGAGAGAAAAAAGTGTGAATTTATAATTTTATCCACATTCTTAACGGAAATGTTAACAAAGAAATATTCGTGAAAATGAATATAATAATTGGGGACTAAGTTAGTAAAATTTGATATATAGGGACTAAATATGTAAAACGTTTTATAAATAGAGACCTTTTAGGAAATTACTCTAGATAATTTAAATGTTATTTAGGAAATGATTTAAATTTTGGTAGTGCAAATAATTCTATTTTATATTCGAAAAGATTGATTTACCACCTCCCTACCTGCAACAGACCAAAATATTCAAAAAAAAGACACAAAATCTTCTTAACCTCTCCCAAATTTTGTTAATCATTCAAAAACATGTGTCAACTTAGATCCAAATCCAATCATTATATGCATTAGGCGCTTCTACAGCAGATTCGTAAACATGAGTTTCAGCACTAGCCGGAGCCGGAGCCGGAGCCGACGCCGGAGCTGGGAAGGGAGGAACGCTAATTGACTTTTGAACGGGACGAGAAGCGTAGGCCTCCTTTTCTTTAGATCCCATATCTTTGAAGTCGTCTTCGTCTACGTGCGAGTACTTCACGGATTTGTCCTTCTTCGGCGGCGTGTAAATGAGGCCGGGATTGTATGGCACGCCGGAGTGCCGGATCCAACTATGCCCGTCGATGAATTTCCCGGCGGTGAACCGTTTGATTTGGTTCTTGGGAAGCTCCTTGATTCCGGCCCAATTCACCCGGTTCTCTTTGGAAGATCCGGGTCCCCTGTTGTTGAACTCTGTGTAGAATAGGGTCTCCAGCCCGAAATCCCCCATCCACGGCAACCACCCCTCCGGCTGAATGAAATCGGGAATGTACGACTCCATTATAACGGTTCTCGAGAACTCCTTCCACGGCCGGCCGAGGTACGATTTGAGGGTGAACCGGTGGGGGAAGTAAGCCGGGTCCGCCACGATGGTGCAATTCTGCAAGACGAGCCCGGTCGGCTGGTGCGGGTCCTTCCGGCCCTGAGCCGTCACGATGTTCTGCTGATTCTCCAGCGGTTTCCGGACGACGATGGTGCAGTTCTGTAGCACGGCGGCGCTGTCGCCGAAGATGAAATCGATGGTGCCGGAGATCTCGCAGTTGCGGTAGAACTGGCGGTACGTGTGCGCGTAGAGTGTGTCCTGGTACCCGTCCATCTTGCAGTTGTAGAAGATTGACTTGTCGGCGCCGACCCTCAGAGCCACCGCCTGATGCTTTTCCGGCCCGGCCGAGTTCTCAAATCCGATGTCCCTCGCCATGAAATAATCTCCCAGAACAGCTGCATTATATTGGATGCAAACAAATGTTATGAATTATTACTACTCCGGTAATAAACCAAATGTTACACAATAAATTAATGAATGAAGTATTCCTAGTACTCACCAACGGTAGCGGTGTGATAAGTGGAAACCCCGTCGATGAAATTCAACCATCCGGTGATTCTTGTCCTGTTCGAACCGTCGCCGATCATAGTGAGATGGGTGATGTTACGGTAAATGGTGACTTGCTCTTCGTAAACGCCCTCTTTGATGTAGAGAATGAATGTTTCTTCACTTTTCGTGGGAATATTTTTTAAGGCTTCATTTATGCTCGTGTAGTTCCCCGACCCATCCTTCGCGACAATGAGATTGGGTTTTACCTCGTTGAGGCTGGCCGTGAGAAGCCTTCGCCTTCCGGAGCTCACCCAATCCGAGAAGTCATCTCTATGTTTTGACAGAAGACGGCGTTTGTTGGTAACATTTTCGACTTCAAGACTGGTGAAAAGGGAAGAGACTTCAGTGACCATAGCAAGGGCATTGCTGGTCATTTCCATGGATTTTGTTAAAACCTCTCTCATCTGTTTCTCTTCATTTCCAGGGATTTCTTCAAATCCGCTCAAGCATGTTTCTTGATAAGTGAGAGAACCGCTGAGCCATGTCTTGAGGTCATCCAGCCAATTATCCAAATCCAGCACGTCGAAATCTTGGAACTTGGCCAAAGTCCTTTGGAGATCATCTATAGCATGGTTTGCGAGCTCTTCACAATTCTGCAATGCGAGTTTCGATCTAGGGTCATCTTTAAGACTCGTGTAGAGTGTCGAATTCTTGATCGAAGCGCGAATGTCATTCATTGTGACATTGAATGCGACTTGTATAAGTTGTCTAGGATCCGAAGAGTGTGTTGCATTCGAGGCTGAGAGGCTCTCGACACAAGTTTTCTTATATGTGGTGGGCTGGCATACGGATTCTATGGCTTTTCGGGAGGCAGCCAGACCTTCGGCTTCTGCCTCCACGCCTGCCTCTTGGCTTCCGATGGTAATCGCCACAACCATAGCTATCAGGATCAAAGAACAAACACCTAGGACAATAATGTTCTTCTTCTTTTTATTCTCTTCCATTTTTTTATTAATATTTTTTAGGAAATTAAAAGGTTTTGCCTAGTGCTTGGTGGAGAAGGTCATACAAGAAATTTTGTTGACCCCCTCCTAGAATGTGGTAAGAGAATGTGGGTGGCAAGAGGTTTAAATTTATAGGATTTTCAAATTGGAAGTCGTGTATACTTTCATTGGGATATTAGTGGTTTGGAGTGAAAAAAGGCAGCAAAATTATAGGTAAACGTGTGACTTTGGCTAAATTTCATCCCATTGTTGTGGCATTTCTTGAGTGGTTTGAGTTTGTGGGTTATTCTCCACCCATTTTCAAAGCCCAAATTTGCTTTCCAAGAAAATTAATGTAGTTCGTTTGCTTAAAATCATGCATAAATCAAAGTTCTTGTTTAGTAGTCTACGTAGGCCAAATCACGGAAAGAAGAAAAAGTTAATATTCGTTTTAATGTTGTAAGTACATTCAGGAGTCAATTTTGTGCTTGTAAGTTTAATTTAGTTAAATTAATTCTGGTAACTAGGAAATATTAATCAAATTAGTTTTTTATGCAAAAATAATCTTCTTAAATTTTAAGTTAACACGATAATTGACACAAAAAATTAATACATGGGAACATTGTTCTTGTATCATTTAACACGATAACTCAGAATTTTAAGAAATAAATTTCATTCGAAGGACTAACTTGATTTGCACTTTTTTTTATATATGGACTAATTTGACTCAAACTAACTTAGAGGGACAAAATTTGAGTTTTGAGTACACTTAGAGGGACCAAAATGAGTATTAAAAAGAAAACTAAGCATGAATTACTCAAGGAGTGAGGGGCCCCAATTGGTCTAAATACATTAACTCCTCCACTTCAGGTGGTGGTACATCTCATTTCAAAGGTTGATGTAATGAGAGGGCCGATTCAGAAATTTTAGTACAATTTAATGAACAACCGGGAGCGATGGTGTAAACTTAATCGGGTAGAAAAGGACTGGACGTAGCTGGGCTAGGGTAACTTCATTGGGTGAATATAAGCAAATAAGAAAGTAAAAGTACACATAAAGCATGACTTAGGCTGAAGAAAATACCATGTAACCAGATACAATTTTTACTTTATGTTAAGAGCATACTGGCTTGTAGGAGTAGAATAGAACCTCTTCTCTCCCCCGAGAGCATCCCATTTATAAAGTGGAGAGATACATTTGTAAATGATTATCATTGTTCAATCATTGGTAAATGCAAATCACTTTACCTTGTCCAAATCAATGACATTACAATAAAGAAAATTAATCATACCTAAATCTCTTTTACTGTTTGTCTCTTAGCGGGTCACCCCCCTAGTCATATGTACAACTGATTATGCTTAAAGATCTCTACCCCACTTCATTAAGACCGCCATAATGCTCTTACCTTTAGGAGTAACTGCTTATTAACATGACAAAGTAATTTTCATTTTGTGAAATATTTTAGCAAATAAAGTTGGTGGTCATGACGGGGCACAAGACAAGATGCCCAGACACGTTCTTCAAGTATCCTAACCAGTCATCTTTTTCAAATCTTCATTTGTGACGCCGTTGTGAGCATACTGCGCACTTGACCGGTCAATTCTTTGCCAGTCACTTTTCTGGTGTTACAAGTTATTCCCATTGTTTGAAAAAACTACGGAGTATAAATTTATTTGAAAATCTAGATTTCAATTATAAAATTTATAAAATTTGGATTTTAAAATAAAGGAAGGGTGTATGAATTAAATGAAGACAAACTTTTGGAGGGGTTTGTGACACCTCATCTAACATCGTTTCAATACATTCTTGTTTTTATTTAAATTTTAACATGAAACGTTGTTAACAACACTTTGACGCTTCGTTACTTGGCATCCTTTTTTTATTTTTTTAAAGAGTGAATTTTCAACATGGTCATTTCGAATTAGGTATTTTTACAAATCAGTATTCAAAAGGCAAAAATTACCTATGTTGTACTTTATAATAGAAATTTATTTCTCCATTAGTCCTCCGTCATAAACTTCGTTCTATGATTGTTAAGTGCGGGATATTTTGGCATTTTCAATCATATCAATTTAGAGTAAATTTTAAAAATGTTCCATTCTAATTAAATATTTTCCTAAAATGGCCATTTTCAACAAAGATGGTATATTTAAAAGTTTTTTTAGTTTTACATAGGGTTCAAGGGTTGTATAGATTTTGAATAATCAATGGATTATTGGATTATGTAAAGTGATAAATTATTCCATCATCAATAATTGTATATAATAAATAGACTAAAATAATTAAAAAACAATGCTTAAAAAATGAATTTATGTTTTAAAAAGAAATAAAATTTTCCATGTTCTTTTTCGGAATTTCAAAAAGAAACTATATACAACTTCCTGCAAAAATAAAACAGTTTATTAATTTTACATAGTCCATTGGTTATTCAAATTTATACAATTTCATTTGGAATTTTAAAAAATCCATTTAATATAACCCTAATTAAAAGGACAATTTAGGGTAAATACTTAAAAGAATATTTAGAATTTATATGAAAGAAAAAAATAGAAATACCCTCACTTCACGATCATATAACTGAGTGTTTACTTTGGGACAATGGTGTGTCTGCTTTCAAATAAGCTTAGTGGGCAGTCAGAGATAGAGATATCAGCACTCAGATCAACACTCAATCTTCAAACCTCACCCAGAGAAGGACGGATTGACAGAGCAGCAAAGAATGAAAGAGATTCAGAGAGATACTCATGCTTTTTTTACTCTGTACTTTGCTTGGACTTTATTTTTAACCTTCAATTCGGGGTCCAGTTTAGTCCCATTGGAATGTGTAATCATCTCTTACTTCAAATAAATTAGGCAAGTGTTCCCCGGCCTTACCACACCGATTTTGGTGGTCTCTACCGGGACAAAAAACAACCATATAACTGAGTTTTCGACGGGGGACAATTGAGGAGATAAATCTCAATTACTTCATATAAAGTACCACATATATAATTATAACTTATTGAGAACTATTTTTGAAAGACAACTTATTATAAATTCATTCTTTTTTTAAAAAAAATCAAACATTATATGTAGGAACATTTTGGTCAATTAACACTTAAGTCATGTGTTATGGCAGGCTTGACAGGGCATGACCTAGTGTAAAAAGATATGATATAGAGTGATAGAAAAATATGTGTTGTAGGGCTTGAAAGAAAAGCGTGACCAAAAGGTGATGAGGTGAAGATGTGAAATAATTTAATTGGTTGAAATTAAAAAAAGAAAAAGAAAAGTGGGGGGGGGGGGCAATGGCGGGATGGCCCTCCGCATGAAAAGGCAACACCCAAAATTTGTATTCTCGTCGTGGAGAATGTGGCGTGTATGGGGTGTGATGGAGGAGGTCAAGCCCTCCTCACGCCATCAGAACACATGATCTTCCAAGGTAGATTGTTAAATATGAAACATTTTCCATCCCATTCTGATAAATTCTCCATTTTAGAGTGGGCCTATTCATGGGATAATTCAGTGTCAAGGTAGAAGAAGAAGTGACGGTAAGAGCATCAACGTTGGTGTGGCAAAAATGAAATGTCACATACTGACATGACATATTTTAATCAATGAAAAATAATTCAGTCAATGTGTGTGGCAAGTAAGTAAAATGGCCTCTGCAGTGGCAAGTCATAGCTTTTGTCACTTTTTTACATTTTTATGTATTTTAATTACTAAAATTATTTTTGTTATTTATTTTATCAAAAAAATAAATCTACTTTCTTACAAAAATATATTTTTTTCTTCAACAAAAAAGAATATAAAAAAGAAAAAGAGGGTTTGAATGCCACACCTATGCCTCGACAACCACGACAACTTGTCCATACTATGCCCGGAAATGAAAGTAAAGAGCTTATATGGCAAGCATGGGAGGAAAGTCTCACCCGCTGTCATTGCTCTGAGAGGTCATAGTTCAAGTGATGGGAGGAGCATCTTGGATCATTGAGAAAAAAGGAGTAAGAAGGGTGTATTTTATGCTTAATTTCAAGGTAGCTTTAGTCATTGTTTGGTTAGTGAAGAAATGATGAAAAAGAAAAGGGAGATGAGAAAGCATATTTTCCAATACAATCTTTCAAGTTTGGTTGAGAAGAAAAAGGTGAGAAAAAAAATGTGTGAGACCCATATCAAAAACTTTCTCATCAACCGTGATAAGAAAATGGGAGTGTCAAGGAGATAGATCCGAATTCGATTCCTGATAATTGCGTTGAGAACTACCACCAATCTGTGATTAAAATCTAATTTACCCTCTCTCAGTGACCATTCGACTGGATTTAAAGAGAGAGTCGAAGATAGGGCTCAACTTTTTTTGTTGTTAATCTCACACCCAACAACATGAAGTAAGAATTGTCCTAGAAACCACACTAAGCAAAATATAAAATATCACACTATTTTCTCTAGGAGTCGAACCCGAGCATAGTACTCTAACACACTCTGCAGAAAGGCTGAGCTACCCGGGCCCGAATTGGAAAACACAAATCGTCTCTATTGCCGAGCACTCCTTAATTTCTTGGCTTAAACCCTGCACTTCTCTCGCTTCACCACGAGCCTCTCAAAATGTTCAAGAAGTCCGTTTTCTATCCCCATCTCTCGCTCTCTCTGTATTTGTAGCACTTGTTTTTTTTTGTTTCGCCATTGTTATTTGGTAGATACCCATATTTATTCTTTTCTTTAAAAAAAAAAATCTTTTTTGGATGTCTACAAGATCGCAATCTTGATGATACCCGAACATGTTTCTCTCTATATTCTATTACCATGGTAGTGTTGATTTCTCTAAACAAGGTGCGATTTTTTTTGTTTTGTTTTGTTTTTTGGGGTTCCTTAGAACTGTTTGATTTCATTACTGTTTTGCATGTGCTTGTCTATTTGATTGAGTTCTGATACAATTTGGATGAAGCTTTATTGAGCTTGGTCAAAGTTGGAGTGGGCAATTTTACAAATCTGGGCTGTATGGTCCTTCTGGAGGGATCCTTCCTAGGACCCTCCCTTAACACATTGTGCACCGGGCTGCCACATGGTCTATTGAAATAGTGGGGGTGTTTTGCATTTCTTTCCACCCTAGCTTTAGGGAACTAACAAAAGTAGAATGAAAAGTCTGCACAATTTCATGCCCTATGGAAATTATT